ATTATAAAATTATTAAAATTTGTATTTTTTGAATATTTTTTTTACACAGGGAAATCATTTGCCATGATTTATTTAACTTTGAAAATATTTTGAAAGTATGAAATCTATTTCTTTCTAAAATACTCTAATTAATTTGACTTTCTTAAAATTTGACAAATATTAGAAATATACTTTTATGATCTAATAAAATTCTTTAAAAATGCATTCTCTTTCTCATTTTTAATTTAGATATTTTTTATTTCATTTTTATTTTACCTCTGCGCCATGTCAAGTTTTTTCTTTTAATATTCTGTAATTTGTGTGTTTGAGCTAAATTTATTTTTAGCATTTGACCCGAATTATTTTTCGTTGCTTTTCTCGTGTTTCAACGATTCTGTGAGGTTGTTCATTTTGGTCGGGGCAATGAGAAAAAGTTTTTCTTAACAGATTTCATTGACCGAATATTTGTTGTCACTTCTTCTTCTTCTTGGGACTCTGAGGCAGCGCAATTAATTCTGTGTGTCGAAAACTTTGAAGAGCTGTATAAATTTATGCCGTTTCGCTTGTCTCTCGTGGCAAATGGCATAATTTTAATTGATGTGAACTACAGTTTATAAAATAATAATAAAAAAAAAAATAAAAATAAAAATCTAAAAAAAAAAAAAAACAAACGCCTCGAGGCGAAACGAAATGCTTTTTGTGGGCTAAGTGTAGAAATCAATTTTGCCGCCGACAAAAAAGCTGTTAGCCAAACGCTTTAAACGTGTCCATGAGTAGAACACTTGACGTGAGAGAGTAGTACATCGACTCAATCTCCAACTCCGTCTCCATCGCCCCCATCTCCATCTACATCTCCGATTCCGACTTCGACTCGAACAGAATCGGTCGAATGACCCCCAGAAATTAGCACAGCACCACCAGAGTCTCTCTGGCCTGTTGTTGAGGAAGTCGTAGACCCCGAGGCCCTGAAACGCAGCTCTTTTCAAAATTACCGAATATCACCTGTTTACAGACACGGAGCCACGCAGCCGATCTCCACCGTCCCCCCAACGAACCCAAGCAGATATTTATTTACATGCGTGTGGGGTAAGCTGATCCACAGCCCATTTCAATAGAAACTCATTTGAGTCAACAAACGGAACTTGTTTAGCACCAACTGTATAAATATGCGTTTAGAAATATTAAACCGGTAGAGGTTCGATATTTGCTTTTCTATAAACAGATCACAATTGATCGACAACGGTTTGGGCTAGTCTGTGGAAATCTGATATACTTCTAGCAATAACAGATTAACGTAATACCATATATGTATACAAAATTTCTTTACTGTTATGCTTTGTATTTCTTGATTTCTTTTTAGATTACAAATTTGAAAACACTAATTATTTGTATTCGCTTTACGTGCTTACCTAGTTTGTAGATCAATTATATATTTACTTAATTATTTCATAATTTTTGAAATAAAAAAAAATTAAGTAGTTTACCTCCTAATTAAATATCATTTTTAATTTTATTATATAATATATTATTCTTATGCATTCCATTTTTGCATACTTAATTTATTTGTTAGTACTTTAGTATTTATATTTTTTTATATACTTGTTCGATTATTATTTTATATATTTATATTATCTTTGTGCACATATAATTTTTGACAACTTTGCGAAAACTTTATCTGAAAGCTTCTCAAAAATAGATTGAATTGATTTTGATATTAAAACATTCATGTGACAATATTAAAGTTTAAAATTTTTTATCAATCATGCGATAAGATAGATGACCAGTCATCACATACATATATACTTATGTATATATATATTATATATATACATTCATTGGAATAATATATCATGACAGTGTGAAAATTGAAGTACAATGTACAATGATACTTTGCAAGTTTATGTAAAAAATTCTAGAAATTCCGTAAAATTTTTGTGCAAATATGAATAACAGTGTGCATAAGGTGCGGCAGACCCTAAGTACAAATTATGTATCAATATACAACTAAGTATATTCTTGCGTCGATCTAAATCGATCGATAAATATATTCAAGTTAAGGATCCTTTTGAGTTATAAGATCTGCATTTTTTTTATATGCATGTTTCATATATGGACATCTCGTCATTTTCGTATAGAGCTGAGCTCTGTTATATTTCTAGACATTTCTCCATTTAGGAATGGAGTTCACTTTATACTACATATATTAATTGTTCACTTGCTTGTAATGCGCAGCAGAGAAATTCTCAAATTGAAATCGCTTCAGCTTCAACTTTTTATGGCATCAATGCTAAGACAACCTACGAAAAGGTGAGCGGCAGTACAAAAGAAATGAAAAGAGACAAAAAAAGAAAAAGAAAAAAACTCTCCCTTTTTCATCTCATCTCGTTTCGTTTCTTAGAATAAATGGCCATTCGGAATGTGCCACTGAAAACTAATTAAAATAACAAAAACCAATCAAAGCATAGAAAACATAAAGTCGACAATGCCAAACAGATATTTTTGGGCGAGTGTTCGCCTCGGGCCGGGCCCTGGAAAAAAGTGAAAATCGTTTCACGTTAACGACAAAACCCCAAAACGAAGCTGTGTAAATCCGTATTTTATACTGCGATTCGTTTATTACTATTATTATTTTTTTAAAGCTGGAATTTGTATTTAATAAAGTTAAGAGAGTCGTTGCTAATAGCATAAAAAAATTTACGACATGAAATAAATAATGCCCAAGAAAATCTGAACCTCTTTTGTGAAAGTCGACGAATTGGAAAAACTTTTCAAATGAAAATGGATCGATCGATCGGTCGTACTGAAGCTATACATATATTAAATGCAAATGATGGGAGATCAAAATTAAAATAAATTAAATTATGTGTTCATAAAAATGAAAAATTTTAATATTTATTCGATCGAACATACTATAATTTGAATAGATGTGAGAGCAGAACTTCTTAATTTACTCTATGTATACTTATAGATCTATAGATTTTATGATATATTACAAAAATACAAAATTTGAGAAGTTTAGCAATCGATCGTGCTAAGCTCGTTATTTATACTAGATAGTGATAATAGATAAAATTCAAATTCCATATTATATAGATCTATGGATTGATATGGAACACTTTCAAAAACCATCAATGACTATTTACCTACACACATAAATATCTGAGAAGATTAAAAGAATTGGAGTACATGCATAAACAGATTGGATCACAGCAGCATCCCATTTAAACTACATAGGAAAACCATTATGGACTATGCTACAAGTCTATAAAAAACATCCCACAAGATATACAAACTGCATCTAACAATAAATTTACACAATGCGAAAGAGAGAGAGAGCAAGTGGGAGCCCCAAATTTATATATTAATCTGCGAAACTAGTTGAACTCTTCTTCCCCCCGCTCGCATACGCATACATACATATATGTATATGCTTTAACACACTCACACACACACACATCGAACTGAAGCGATCACTCACCCTATTGCATTCCAAGGCGGCGGCGCTGTGCTCCTCTCGCTGACGAAAACAATGGCTGCATTTGCTCTTGTTGAATATATTTGGTGAGAATTTACGACAGTCGGCGATGCGTCCGCCGCTCACATTTGGCGGGGGCGACGCAGCCGAAGTTGACGCCGCATTTGCAGCTGATGCCGCTGCGGCTGTTGTTGTTGCTGTTGCTGTTATCGTTGTTGTTGACATTTTGGGATATTCGCTCAGCTTCTGCTGCACGGTTTTCAACTTAGAATCTGTCGACAAGCTTTGAGCTCTGCTCTGCTCTGCTCAGCAGCCAAATTGAAGCTCAGGGCTGAGCGCCATTGCGTTCACACACACACGAACACTGTTTGGACTCTCTCGCTCACACGCACGTACGCGCACGCCAATGCAAAATGCTGAGCCAAATTTTAACAATTTTGCACAATTTACTTCTTTTTTTTGTTACTCTTTTATTTTTATTTATTTTTCGACACTTGATAACGTTGGCCGCAGGGCGAGTATCGTAGCAGCGGGCGGGGCGGAGAACGGGACAGCCTTACATATTTATGCAAATGCGACCGAACAGCTACGCAGTTGTTGCTGTTGCTGTTGTTATTTTCGTTGTCGTTGTTGTTGTTCTTGTTYAACAGACGATGCGGCGCAGCAGCCGGCTCGGCTTTAACGTTACTGCTGCTGCTGTTGTTGTTGTTTTTCTTTCCTAATTGCTCTAAAAATAGCAGAACATTCAGCTGAATCAGCCAACCGTTCCCGTTACAATTCACGATATTTCCTTCGCCAACTGTTATGCACGTTAGCTTTGCCCTTTAGATTTTGATATCAAACTTTATATTTTTTGGCATAGCAAGCAAAATAAATACGAATGCGAATAACAACATACACGTATAGACCGCACACACACACACGCACACACTCTCACACACACGCGCGCACACACTAAAAAATTATTCAATTTTGTTTTGCACTTGGCTTCTTCTTCATCGGACACCAACAAAATACACACGGGCTGGAAGTGTTGCTGGAATCTGACGCGCACTTTGTAAATGCTGCTCTCGGCACAACGAATCGGTTCGAATGCATACACGACACTGACACGGCTGCCCCAACAAGTCGAGCCGCAACCAGTCGAGCGCCAAAAACAAACACGATAGAGAGACCAACACAGAGAGACAGAGAGAGAGAGAGAGAGAGACGACAAAGCCGAGAGAGTGCCTAATGCTGTGTAAAATACATAGTAGCAAGTGTGTGGTAGGTAACGCAACGGTGGAGGACAACGTTGAGGCTCTCTTCACATACAGCTATGAATTGCTAATATAACAAAACCACAATAATAATAGCTTACATACTCAGTATGCTTAAAAGATACCGTTACTCTCACTGAGCATACTGAGTCGTTTAGTATGAAACGTATGCACTTATACAGCCTGTGCATATGTGCGTGCTTCTTGCTTCTGCGTAAGCAAACGCAACACTCTGACATCACAACAGCGCTCTCTTATACGAGTACGCTCAGCAACGAGCTGGCGGCCGATCGATTCAATCAGCTGTTTCGACTGCTTCAAACTTGGTTTGACAGCGAAACTGTTGTTGTTGTTGAGAGTCAGTTTAGCCATAAAACAGCTAAATTCCGCTGCAATCGAACCGATTGAATTGAGAAAATTCAATGTATAAGAGTTTGCCTTACTAATACATTTACATTTGTTAATAACAAATTTAATTGCCTTTAATCAATGCCCGTATATATGAAACTCTGTTCTTAACTTGAACTAATGCGTCTTTTGACCTTTGCCTATCATTTGTATCAAATCGAAAATGTTGTGGAAAATCAGTGCCAGGAAAAGTATCCCAAAACGATTTGTTTACAACAACCGCAACAACTACAACATATAATTAACATAACCATTTACTGTACGCTTCATTAAGAGCCTCAGACAACAAATTTTCAAGTGCGCCGCCACAGCAGCAGCCGCAACAGCAGCAGCAGAGAGCATTAGAAGGAACGAGATGGGATGAGAGGAAGTGAAGAATTGACAGAGAGAGGGCGAGAGTACGAGAGACGGAGACAAAGAGCGAGACGAACCCTTTTTACGCATCTTCAAGCCGCGCAACAATAACAAAGAAAGCTGAAAAAAAAACAGTTGATTAATTGTGCTCGATTAGGGGCAGGGTGAGGAGATGAATTTAGAAGGAGAGGGGTGATGGGGCAGTGGAAGGCGTCGCACAGCTTGCGTCTCGCAAGGGCAGCGAAGCACTCCATCAAATATTTTGACTGACGCCTTGGGATGTTGGCGCACCCGGAAAGTCGACTTGAGTACACTACCCAAAGGCATAGAAGACCCAACAGTAGCCGAAGAAACTGAGAGTATATTGTGTGGCAGAGAATTCAGATTATTTATCATATCCATAAAAGCTAAGTTTGATTCTAGAACTAACTTTTGATTGGTAAAATCTCATTTTTATATATCTTTAATATTATAATAATTAAATATTAAAAATTTAAATTTGAATCTAAAATTTGAATCCTTACAGTAGCTGAACAAACTGATATTATATTGAATTGTATATATTACATTATATCAGATTAGACTATATCAGATCTATAAAGTCCAAGATTGATTCTGGAACTAATTTTCTTCTTATTCTGATTCGATATTATAATAATTCAAACTGATCGATCTTATCTTAAAACTTTGTGATTTCAATCTAATCTATTAAATCTAAATTTAAATCTGTACTTATTATAAAATCATTGACTCACAAGAGATCGTCCATTCTACTAGAAATAAACAATAGTGCACATAGAATTTTATGGGAAAGTGTTTATTTACAGAGTTTCCCATTTTACGGAATCAGAATTCAGCATTCAATATTCTTCGTTCTTATATAAATATAATATATATATATTCTATAGAATTCTGTTTACCTTAATAAATTAAAATATTTACCTATTCAAGGCATTAGATGATAAGGAATTATTTATTTGTTTATGTTTGATCAAAAATTTTGCTTTGATAATTGTGAAAATACCTGCGAAATGGATTACAGCATATTGGATTTTCTATTACTGTTGTTGTTGTTGTTGTTGTAACTGTTGGCTGACGATCGGTTTGGTTTTTTCCCATTTAGCACTCGCATTCAAATGTCAATCGAGTCACGCGCGTCTCAGCGGCACACAAAACAGAAAAAAAAAACAACAACAAAAATTGGAGACAATGTAAAACCCAATTCCCCAGATATTTTTATACACTTGCGCTGAGGGAGTTTTAATTGTTTTGCCGAGAATGCGGAAGAATCTAAAAAACGGAAAACAAATTACGAATTAGGTGAACGAAAGTTAAATCTGACCATTTGTAAGTTTGTATATGGTAAAAAAAATCAATGGCTTGAGAAGTCACATATATGGGTATACACTAGGATTTTATGTATTTAAGGTTTAGGGTTTGATTTATTTCTTACTTGAATAATTTTTCAATTTGATTTGATTTACAACTTATTTATTATAGATTAGAATTAATCTAAGATTTGGCTTGATAATTTATTCATGTTGTTTCTAAATTTTTTATAAGTTTTTAGTTGTTCTCACAATTAGTGATTAATATTTAAATATTATAGGATATATATGACAGAAGCAATCAGATATGAAAGAAGTAAGAGTGCTCTGGAAGAGATCTACTAAACACTTTGAATAATCCATATTCCACTTATTATACTACGACTTTTTGCTTATAAAGAAGAAACAACATGCAGGCATACTAATGCACACACACACACATAAACAGCGCTAGGTCAGCAATGGGAGCCATTTTATAGAAATTTATTTGTTGAATAAGTTTTCCTTTAGATGGACTTTCGTAATCAAAGTCTCGAAATGTGAATGGGAATGGTATTCATATATATATGTATATGCTTACATATATTTGTCATATCACATTTAAAATACCCTTGTGCAAAGGGGTTGGACGTGGGTTTATCCTTATGGATATCTGGTAAACAACAAAAATCGAAATTTGTATAAAGTATGCGAAATTCTGAGACTAGGTCTGAAAATTTAGAAACTCAATTTTATTTTCGAACTATATTTTAATAAGCTTGCATTTGACTATTATTAATTTTCTGCAAGCCTTCATTTGAATATTACAAATTTCGACTTTCCATTTAATTTAAATTTTCATTTTTTTCCGCAATTTTCAATTTCAGCTTTTGCGCCCTTTTGCGACTGCGCGAATTTCTCAAAGCTGGAAAACTAAAACGGGCGAGGCTCAAAATGCTGCACATGCCACATGCCACATGCCGCATGCCACATTCAAACTTGTTGTCGCAGTTAGTGTTGTTGTTGTTGTTGTTGTTGTTGCTACATATTAAATTGATTGCAGCTGCAGACAGCAACCGCCGCCAAACACCGAACCGAATCACACTTTCACTTTTCTATGCTAATTTATAAAAGTAGAAAAAAAAACATAAAAATAAAATTTGAAATAAAAAAAAAAAAATTTCACAATTTTTGTTTCCAATGTTTTTCCAATTGTCCTTTTACCGTTTATTTTTTAAGGTGCATTGACTCCACTTCGAAACACAATTTCATGTGGATTGGGCGTGGCAACGCCTTCCTCTGCTGGCGTTTTGGATATTTTGGTCTTTTGTCACGTTTTGTGTCCGCTTGATTAATTTATTTTTAATTCTAACGCCGCACCAGAGTGTGAGAGAGAGGGAGAGAGAGAAAACCTAATCAAAATATTTGTCTAGTCGCGGAAATAGCTGAAAGCGTCGGCATTTCTTAGCCGTTGCTTAGAAGCAGCTCGCAGGCATTGAGAACTTTTCAAATATGCTGGAAAGGAGAAGATTTATGTTCGAATTGCGTCTCGTGTTTATTAAACGGCAGCCGGACAGCCGTAAGCTACATGAAATGAATTATGATGTCAAAGGGGCGGTATACAAATGCGAATACCCTGTAGAAATTAAATATCCACGCTGCATGCTCGATGTGTGCATTCATTAGATGACGGACAGTGGAAAAGTTCTTTAGCTAGGGTTAGATGAATATAGAAAAAAAAGGGTTTACTTTATTTTTTTCTCTCTCTCTCTTTCTCTCTCTCTTTCTCTTTCTCTTTCTCTTTCTCTTTCTCTCTATCTCACTCTCTCTCTCATTCTGCCGCTGTCTTCTCTCTCTCTCTCTTTCTCTCTATCTCACTTTCTCTCTCTCTCTCTCATTCTGTCCTTTCTACCTTTCTACCTTTCTTTTTCCCTTTCTCGCTTTCTCTCTCTCTCTCTCTCTCTCTCTCTCTCTTAAGTCCAATAATATGGTAACTACAAGTCGATCAATGTGAGCTATTTAATATAAATGTGGCATCTTAAAAACAAATAAAATATTTTTAAATATTTGAAGGGATTTTTGGAATTATATCTCATGAAAATATAATTATTTCATATTTCTGAAGTATGGAAATGCGCTCCAGGAACGTTTGAAAATTAAATACTTGAGATGACAGCCAGCAATAGACTAATGATAGGGTAACTGAAAATCATTTAATGTGATTTATTTTATGATTTGAATAACTTAAAAAAAAAAAAGAAAACTTTTCAAAATATTTAAATTTAGTTTTTTTTTTTATGTATATAAATAGAATGCAAATATTAAAATGGAATTCTGTTGAAGAACTCGATTAATTTTCTAATTATTTTATCATCTAATTATTTTATTTAAATAGTAGTAAAATAGTAAAATTTGTCATTTGTCAATCACTATCATATTAATATATATATACAATATTTTTATTAGGAATGATTTTAGACTAGACAATAATATATTATGTTTATGCTAGCCTGGGAGTCGAATTTGATTCATCTAGGTTCAATTATTTTCCACTTGGAAAAGCCAAGTGTAAATCTCGTTTCCAAATTCCGTTCGAAACTCTGTCAAAATAATTTATTTATCTAGTGAGCATTCTATTAAATAGCTGTATGATATCTATGCCAATTAATTAACTCAGATCTCTCAGCTTCGACTGTTCGCAATCGAGAATTTCTTCTCAATTTAGAAGCTTAGTGTGAGAGTCTAAGGCACTAACTAATGGCAGTCACTCTGCGAAAGATACCCTA